TCCACTATCTTAGGCAGAGTAGGAAACCAGGTGGTTCAATGATGAGATCATCTATGATATGCTTGGTAAATGCCAGGGTCTGCCCACTGCATCTACCAGGTGTCTTCTCGGTTGAAGTTGGATGACAGACTTCCTTCTCCAGCTGCCCAGAATGGTTGGCGGGACATAAGGCAAGTGTGAGACAGGTGAACAAGATTGTCATGGAGCAGGAGCTTTTGGTTAGTGAGAGCTTTCTTGTACTCGCACATCATAGCCACCTCTAACTGTATGGTTGGAGGAGGAATGTTTTTGAGGACTGAAAGCCAAGGCAGCAAAGTGGATTTCAGGGTGCCAGTTACAAGTCTGATAGCCGCATTTAGCAGGATAGTGATGAGGTCTGTGTAGAAGTTTCTTCCCTAGAAAGCTGTGCAGTACTTGGCTGTGGAATAAACTAAAGCCACAGTTGCCATTCATAGTATTCGAGCAGCGCAACCCCAGCTAGAACCTGCTTGCTTTTGGAAGATATTATTGTGAGTCTTTGTTTTATGGGTCACCTGTTTCAGATGTTGATAGATAAGGTTGCAATGAAGAGTGACTTCGAGGTTGCCAGGGTTAGGATTGTGGGTGATTGCCTTGCCTTAGAAGTTTATGTTCATCCTCTTAGCTATAGAATTGCTGAGATGGAAAGCTGACAACACCATTTTTGATGGATTGGGTTTGAATTGCCAGTACCGAAAATAGTTTTCCATCTTCTTCTGATCAGTTTTGCTGGATGTTGCGGCCTGTGTCGTTAGTGATAGATCATCAGTATAAATGAGCTTATGTATAAGTTAAAAAGGGATGGTGCAAGTACTGATCCTTGTGGAAGGCCATTGTGCAACCTCCGCTTTTTACAAACCTGATTTACTAGATGGACACGGAACTTTCTTCTTTGAAGGCATTGACCTAGTGAGTTGAAATGTCTGGCCGGATTGCAGCAGGTTGGATAGCTTCAGCTCTAGGCCCTTGTGCCAGACAGTGCCATAGGCTGATGGCAAGCCGATAAAAGCTGCAGCCATTTTAATCTTCCACTGAAAACTGGTCTCAATATGTGTGCCACAGAACTAACTTATGTGCACTAAAACTTCAGAATTACCACTGCTGAACAAAGGGCTTTTAAAAAAAGATTTTTTTTCCATGTTGAAGTGCCATATCATGCAACTTTCCCCAATACATGACATTGAGAAACTAACTATCCCATATAGTGCCTGGCTGAATTGTTCCACTTGTACTTGGACAAGTATCTGGAAGATTATTAATGAAAGCTGATTTGTTTTTTAAATACTGAGTACTATGGTCTCCATAGTTTATTCCAGGTAATAGAATTAGACTGGGGGTCATTATAGTTACCTGCTCATAAAGAACAATGAGCAGGTAACTATAAAATCAAGTGCTAGATATTTTCATTCCTATCTGTCAATAACCCATATCATTGGATAACAACATGGGCAATCTTTTTTCTAAGGGAAAAATGTAGAAACATATACAGCAATAAATATTTCTGTTTGAGAGACTTTTGAGGAGACATCAGAGAAAACAAAATCAGTTCTCAGAGGCTTTTCTCATACTTTCTCATCCTGTGGCTTACATTACTAGCCTCATTCTGTTATTCTGCTCCGGCCCAGTCCTCAGCATCCCTTTTTCAATCCTGGTTTGGGCTTTCCTGTAATGTACTGCTGACAGCACAGTATTCACTGCAAAACCAGTTGATCATAATGGACTTCAGCAGAATTGGGAGCCAGACTTCATTTGAAAGGTGTTTTGTACATAAGAACCTCGCACTCAGGAGGGGCAGTCTATACAAGCTTCCCATTTTTTAAACCTTTGTACAACATAAGGTTTACAGTCTGAACCAAAACATTTTATTTGTGTAATGGTGCTACTAAGAGCATGACAGCACACACTCTCACAGAAGTACTTTCTAGCGGAGTCTTCTTTCTCTTAACCTGTTTTGTATTTGATTAAGAGTATTTGACAGATGTGAGAATGGGATTATTAAAATACAGCATGTTTATAATGCTCACATGTGCGACACCTTTTGAAATCTCTGCCTGATGAGCTGAGTATCCCAGATGCAAAGGAGCACACAGTTCAGGCAGAGACATCCCGTAGGGATACATTTATTAAAGGGGAAACTCTATATCCTATTAAAGGGAAAAGGAAAGAAGTTGGTAAAGTACAGACAGGTGCTAGTGAGGAACAGTCCAACAACATAGTCACATTTAAATATAACACATGAAGGCAAGCAATAAATATTGACAAAATGTACAAGCGCTATATACAAATGCTAGAAGTCTAAATACTAAGATGGATGAACTAGATAGTGTGCCTGGTATTAAATGGGAATATTAATATAATAGGCATCACGAAAACTTGGTGGAATGAAGATAATCAAATGGATGTGGTAAAACCAGGCAGCAGGTTTAATACAAACAAGATAAAGTACTTCTTCACACAATTAACCTGTGGAACTCATTCCTATAGGATGTTGTGAAGGCCAAAAGTATAACTGGGTTCAAAAAAGAACTAGATAAGTTAATGGAGGATAGGTCCATCAATGGCTATTAGTCAAGATGGTCAGGGATGCAACTCCATGCTCAGGGCAGCCCTAAACCTCTGACTGTCAAAAGTGGGAGGGGAAGATGGGTAGATCTCTCCAAAATTGCCCCTGTTCTGTACCCCCTGAAGCTCCATGGCCACTATTCTGACACAGGATACTGGGCTAGATGGACCATTGGTCTGACCCACAACGGCAATTATGTCCTTAAAAACAACCACAACAAAATTATTTACTCTTTCACTTGGGACTATCTTTTATTGGGTTTTATCATAAACTGTCTAGTGAAGCAAACTGTAGAGTTTCTGATCCTTAGCCCCTACTCTTTGACACAGCTGTACTCTGACATACACTTTGTGTTCATTTGCAATGCATTCCATTAGGAGTTCCAATCCATCCAGCATATCCTCCTATTGACCCAATTGTACCATTGTTAATGGGTTTTAATTGGTCTCATCTAACCTATTGGCTCAGCTGTCTCATCAGGTTTCTGTTAAAGTATTAAAACTGTGTGATAATGAACATGTCAGATTATGACTTTTAAACAATCCTCAAAGAGAAATGACACTTAAAAATATTTAGAAAGAATCTCCAAAATTGGTTGAATTTATCTTCCCTAACATTTTACATCTCTTTAAGACAGTGACAGAAAGAAAGAAGCAAAACTGGTATTTATTGCCTTTGTTTCAATATGAAATAGAGTTTTAAGTGAAAGGGGATGAAACTCTAAACAAATAGCAGTTGAAATACAGAATCACAGACTGAAGTCATTACAAGCAAGTGGTTTCACATTCCAAAGGAAGCTAGAAATGCATCTGGAAAAAGAGATTCAACGGGTACAGGCACTAGCTGCTAAGGAATCCTGAACTAACGAGATACAAAACAATTTACAGGTATTTCCTGGGCTTCAAAAAGACAAGCAATAATGGGCTATGTGGCCTTCTTCAGGACCTTATGGGTAAATTTGAAAAGAGGCACTTGGGGGTTCCATCTGCATGACTCACAGTAAAGCCCCTGGGAGTTGTGTAGCTAAAAATCCTGCTCTAAGCTTTGAAATGGTAGGCAGGTACTTTCCTAGGTTTGCTTAGAAGAAGCTCCACCAGTACAAAGAAGTACTTATTTAAAGTGGGGAAAAAAGCTCCCATTAAGCAGCAATATTTTAAAAACCATATGGTATCATACAAAACTTCCAAGCCCAGTTGACCAAATGTGGGTGCCTGAAGCCATATTTAGATCAATGTTAGATTTAGGAACCAAATTTTGTGTTTGAAAATTTGGACTGTATTATATACTATACAAAAATAAAAAACAATGCATTGCATAATAAAATATTGCAATAAAATTAATGTTGAACAATGATGCTTTTATTGTAAAAAAAAACACAATAAAGCATTATATTCTAACATACAGGATTCAAATGAGTTCCAGCTTATCCCTGCAAGAGAGCATCAAAAATATTTACAAGGAATATTTCATAAGGAATATTGTGCATTTCACCTACTGCAGCTTAACTGAATGTATCAAATAGAATTAAGTGAATCTTGACAAATTTAGCTTCTCCTTTTGCCTGTGGAGTATCTTTGAGCAGATCATGATTTTCCTGAATTTGTTCATTAGTCAAATTCAGATTTTTTTTTCCTCAATCAGTTGATCATGAGTGTTTGAAATTAAACTTGGTTGTGATTGGTTAGATAATTCACATGGTATTAGTTCTGTTCCAAAGTTAGATGAATACACAAGCGCTTTAAGTGTGAGTATTTCCATGTGCAAATCTAAAATTCAGTTTCCGCACATTCTAAAGGATGAAACTGAGGTGTTTTCAGCAGAAACTTGCCACTCATCAATTACTCAACTCTTTCTCTCTGCAGAAAGCACAACCAAAAGGAATGTGATCTTGACTAAGGATAGTTCTTTTAAAAATGTAAATAAATATGCACAGAACACTTTTTGAGAGAGAATTTATTGGGAACCTTTTACAAAAGGAAAATGAATTCACAAAGGGTGACGTTTTGGCCTCATTGAAGTCAATTAAGAGTTTTGTTTCAGTGGGGTCAGGATTTCACCCAAAGAATTTAAGTGACCTTCCCTTAATCACACAAAGTCTTTGGCAAAGAAGGGAATTCTTTTATTTTGACTCCCATTCTTGTGCCTTAATTACAAACTAATTTTTACTTGCTCCATAGATGGGAGGATTAGTGCTTGTACTTCAGTTTTAAAGTACTTTATAAATCCTAGGTGTTATTGAAATTATTTGTTATGGTTTGGTTTTATGTTACAATACAAGTAATGTAGAAATAATGTAGTAGAATTTTTCATGTTCCTCCTTTACTTTTTAATTTGTCATTAGTTCCCCATGTAGTTCTGCTGGCTTTCCAGTGCACTAATTGGAATGTGATTGCTAATCAGAATATTCACCTTTTTGCAGATTTCCAGGCTTTGGGTCTGAAGAAAGGAATGTTCTTCAACCCAGATCCATACCTGAAGATTTCCATTCAGCCTGGAAAGCACAGCATCTTCCCAGCACTTCCTCACCATGGACAGGAGAAGAGATCCAAGATCACGTGTAATACTGTGAACCCTATCTGGCAAGGAGAGGTAGGTAGCGGAGTATCTCCCATTCTCTAGACTGCTCTATTCTTTTTTACCCCTTTGTTTATAACATGTTCTTAGAACCTGGAAATAAGCCTGATCATATCTCAATCAACAGTACATTAAAAAAAAAAAACACCACCACCCCTGCTTCTTGTTTGTTCTCAATCAGGGTTTTATTTTTTAAATGTAATAGACCTTAAATCAGTCAACTTGATCAAATGTATTTTAACTAGTTTTAGTGCTCAATAGAAAAATACATACCCAGAAAATTTATATGTAACCCCCTTTTCAGCCTGAGTCAAACAGCTTGCTCTATAGTCTCATTTTGTTCTAAGGTTAACTTACAGTTGGGTACAATTATAGGACTGCATACAGTTTCATCTTCACTTATTTTTCTCTTTTTCAGAGACAGAAATATATTTTACCCATACATTTCCAGTGTATTTGAATCTGTTTATTTGTTTTGTACATCAGATTTTTGCTAACTTAAGCGCCTATTTGTTTAGTACAATACTAAAATACTTATTCCCTAGTTAACGATTCTTGACCCAATCACTCCTAGCAGGCTAGCATTGTTCTTGACATGACTTCGAAAGCATCATGGGGAAGTCTGGCTCAGAAGCACTCCATAGGCCTTATAAAAAATATCTGGCCCATAGGTCAACATGGTTAAAATTGTGATTTAACTGATTGCTCTTGTTCCATGACAATCCTAAATTTATTAATGCCAAAAGCCTAATTTTCTATGAAGATGAATGTTAGATTAATACTTTCCGTACATATTGTATTTTAAGGCATTTTTTATTGTATTTTAAAAAATCATTATTGAACATAGGCATCACCCAGCATTGAAAAATATAATTGGTTGTTTTTGAAAACTGCTGTTAGACTGATCGAAGTCTTGTAGTTATGAAAATAGAGAGAGAACATTGTGTGAGGTGCTATAGTTGCAGCATGCAATCAAAAACGGATGTGTGTGATTGAAAAATGTCAGTGGTAATGTAAATTAGAGGCAGATTTGCCCATCACCTGGAAGAAATACTCTGAAGTCAGCTGCACCTGCTTGAATGGATTCAATAGGCACCAGTGAGAACTTCATGCATTTCACCGTTGCCAGCTGCTTTTAAAGTACACCTGAAACAGCAGCATACAGCATCTCTGTAGTAAACTAAGGGCACTAAACACAAAGGGCCTGATTTACCGGTGTTCCCTATTGGGACAATTAGTTCCATTTCAGAAAAATGGTAAAAAAACCCAAAACAAATAAATGGATCCAAATTAAATATAAACTGGAAAATAGTTTTGGACTAATCAGTGTTGAATCCTATGCCAAAGGTGAGGGGGAAGAGATCCAAAGAACAGTGACTGCACGCTCCTGCACAGGAGATGTGTAGCATTAGGAATCACAAGGACTATGAGTATAGCCATGCTACCAGTACTTGATACCCCAGAGGAGTGGACAGGGACATGGCCTGAATCCTTCATTCGGTATTAACTGGTGTAGCTGGCAACACTTGGAGTGGAGGCACATGCTGTCCCTGTGCAAAGAGTGATGAAGTGGCTGTATTCATGGAGACTGAGTGGGATTTTCTGAAGCATTCAGTACAAACCTAACTCTGCTCCCACCCTAGTCAATACAGTTAAATATGATTTACTTTCGCTTTTAGGCCCCTTTGCATTACCAGAGCAGTATAAAATGACTTTAGTGTAAATGAGACACAGACCCTCTGAGACTGGCTGCTGCTCTGACAGTTTGTCAGCGCTCCTTCCTCCAGTCATGCTGGGATGTCCGAGTTTGCTCAGTGACGTTCCATTTCAGACAGAGTTTTGGAGTGATGGAGGAAAAACAATGAGAGTCTAATTGGGGCTTGAACAAAAACAAAATAACAAAAACAAAAAAAAGCACAGCGGCTTCAAACTTCTTCACTCAGCCCCATAGTTCTCTTGATGGCATCTTTAGTACTGTTAGCCTGCATGACTAAGAAATTCTAATCAATTGTGGTGTCTGTCAGCATACTCCGTTCCTGCCTTCTCTGCAGTCAATATGAAGACATTTAGCTGCCACAGACCAGTAATACATTCTCTGTTCCCCAGGCACCAGTGACCTGAAATCTTCATCCACTTGTCAATGTCTTAGCAATGAAAAACCAGCGTCACTTTCCACTGACTAAAAGTTATTGGGCCTGATTCTCCATTGCCTTTCACTTTGTGTAAGGAGAGCTGGAATGCTATCAAACCAGAATGGCAGCATTTTATACCAACTCTGTGTCCAGAAAATCAGGCCCACAGTACATAAAAATCAGGTGTGGGTTTTTTTCCCCATGAAAATGTTTTAGGTCCTGAATTCATTTTAGATGGGTTAGTTTTTATAAGGTGCACTGTCATTGTGTAACTGCTTTGTGTAAATAGCAACCAGATGTTCCTTTTTCTTAATTGAATTACAAGTCTAATTTGGGATATTTGCTCACCTCACCTGAAAATTCAGGGGTGGAGGTTGAGTGAGGGGAAGAGGACTGTACAGTCATTATAAATGTCTGCAGACTGGGGTCTTAAGTCTGCTCTGTTATGCCTGGCCAAACTCATAACTAACCAAGAGCAGAAATTGGCTCAAATTTTGTAGGTGCTATCCACCATAGTAAAGTCATGCAGAGTGTGAGGAAATGATTCATTCACTGCCTAACATTCATGTACCCTAATGTTCCCTGGATATATACTAGGTTGTTCCATATATTTAACCAGTACACTTAGATTTCATACAGTATAGCACCTTCCATACTTCTTATATCCCAGAGCACTGTGCTCAGTGATGAATTAAATACTGGGCATGTAATTCACCACAGCTATAGACAGCTGCAACTCTGTGAACTTGAGAGAGATTGCAACCACTGTGAATTTGGCCTTGGTACTTGCTGCTTCGCTAAGAAAATTTGATAGACATGTTATGATCATCATTAGCTCACACACAGACTGGTATTTCATCATGTGTTCCTGGTGCAGGCATTGTTGCTGGTGGTCCCGGTTCTGGCGTCCCAGTTCCAGAATCAGCTGCTGCTGTTGTGTCCCAAACTGCTGGACCAGTTGCTGCTGCTGCTGGAGCTGGGCGGTGGCCTGCTGCTGCTGGGCCGCCTGCTGCTGCTGTTGGCTCTCCGCTAAGAATTTAATAAGCTTCTCCATGTCCATGGTTGCCCAGGCACGTCTCCTCAGATCCCTCCTCACAGGGATCAGGGGATCTAATCCCCACTTCTGGTACCACGTGTAAAGGGGTTTGTTAGGGTCGCCCCTCTCTGGGGCAGCTGGGAGCCAGGCTGCCTCACTACTGAGGTCCGTTGAGTCAGGGAACTAGCCGGGTGAGGCAAGAAACAGTTAAGGGCTCAGGCCCTCAGGCAGGAGCTGAGCAAATAGTTCCAGTATCAGGCCCAGGCCCTGGGTCAGGGCAACACACAGTCTGGAGCTCAGGCCCTCAGGCAGGGGCTGAGCAAAATAGTTCAGGAACAAGCCCAGACTCCAGGTTCTGGCGTCTGGGGCAAGGGGGAGACTGCCACCCGTAAGTGGGGTGGCAGGGGGGACCGCCCGCCCACTCCACTGCATCCCAGCCCGGGGCCCTAACAGCGGCAGGCAGCCTGCTGCTGTGTCAGTGGGGATCCTGGCCGCAACACACGGACATCGGCTCTGGGTGTGCCGCAGCCAGACTAGGGTCGGCTGCCCCCGGGCTACTTCCTACTTCCCCCTCTAGCAGTACCTGCGTCTGGTCAGTGTCCTCCACGGAATCAAGCACCATGGGCTCCTCAGGGTACTCGGCGAGCGGTAGGCTTGGCAGCTCCTCTGGGTCGCTTCTCTCCGGTCAACTTAACAGCTTCTCCGGGGTCTGGTCGTCCTCAGGCCTTGACTGGTATGGCCAGTCCTCAGGTCGGTCACAGGCTGAAGTCTCCCCAGCGGGAGCTAGGCCCCCAGCATCTGGCTTCTCCGAAGCCAGGCAGCTTCTGAGCCCTGGGATGCGGCTTTTATACTTCCGGTCCTGCGCTTTGACCTTTGGGAGGCGGGCGCAGGCTCCAGTGGCTCTGCCCATTTTGGCATCCAGAGAGGCTCGTCCCTTTCTGGGGCGGCTGGGAGCCAGGCCGCCTCATTACACTGACTTTAGCCAGGTGTTGAGAGTTACCTTTTAGACAATATTTATGGGATCTTCAGCTTTCATCTGAACAGCCACTAGAGAAAGGCAGAAAGGACCTTGGTTTAATTTCTCTTGCAAAGGTTGCACCCCTAGTGATGCAGCAATCTTTCTGGTCCCCTATATGTATGCTGTCAGCTTTAGCTTTGAGTCCACGTCCTAGTGTGAATTTTTTTCCCCCAGAATACTACAGGGAGAGATATACTTGCAGCTATGTGTCTGGTTAATGTGAGAGCTATAGCACAGCACACATGAATGGGAGTCTGGAGATATGGATTATATTCCCAATTTTGCTTTCGTGTTGATTTTGGATAATGTTTCTGGGCCTCAATTTAACCATCTGTATTATTAATATTCTGATAACATTGACACATCCCAGTCAAGACACGAGCTCCATTGTGATTCACGCTGTATAAACATAAAGAGACAGTCCCTGACTGAACAGCTTACAGTCTAAACGACAGGACAGGCAAATGGTGATGGAGAAAGAAAGTAGTGTTACCTCATTTTATAGATGGAAAATTGAGGCACAGAGAAATTAAGGCCAAGATTTTCAAAAGCAACTAATGATTTTAGGAGGCTTAAATTTGGGGTGGCCAGCATGAGACATCATAAAGGGGTCTGATTTTTTTCAGAGGATACATGCTCAGAACTTTGTGAAAATTAGGCCCCTTTAAGGTATCTGCCTTTAAACATCCCAAAATTGAGGCACCTGAAATCACCGGCCACTTTGAAAAGCTTGGCTTAAGTGATTTGCCCCAGATCACACAGGAAACACGTAGTCAGGTCAGGAATTGAACACAGATTGGCTAAACCCCAGTTTAGTGCCTTAACTATA